TGACAATGTATCAGGTCATAACACAGTCGGGTGCAAATGGATCTTCAAGAAGAAGACCGACATGGATGGGAATGTACACACATATAAGGCGCGACTGGTTGCGAAGGTCTTTACTCAAACTCCGGGAGTTGACTATGATGATACCTTCTCACCAGTAGCGAAGATCAAATCTATAAGGGTTATGTTGGCCATTGCTGCATTTCATGACTATGAAATATGGCAAATGGAAGTCAAAACCGCTTTCCTTAATGGAAAACTTGAGTCAGCCAGAGGGTTTTGTCCATACAAAGTACCCTAATAGAGTGTGTAAGCTTGAGACAGAGATAATTTCCACTCTCAGTCGAGCTGGGTGTTTACCCTAAACAGAGGAGCAGTGGCATGGAAAAGTTCCAAGCATGAGACGATACCTGATTCAACGTGCGAATCAGAGTACATAGCAGCAAGCGAAGCATCGAAGGAGGCGATATGGTTGAAAAACTTCATCAAAGACCTTGGAGTTATTCCATCCATAAAGGAGCCTATGGAGATTTTCTACGATAATGAAGGTGCAGTTGCCTTAACCAAGGAATCGAGAGATCATGGTAGATCCAAGCATATCGACAGAAAATACCACTTCATAAGACATCGGGTAGAAGAAGGGAACCTCGTGGTAAAGGGGATATCGTTAGAGGACAACCCAACAGATCCTCTTACAAAAGGACTAACTAGGGTTAAGCACTTGCAGCATGCGAGGATCATTGGGCTAAAGGACGATATTAGTTTTAGTAATTAGATAAATCGAAACTTGTAATAGCTAAATTGTAATTGACATTTGATGATGAATAAAAGGGGTTTTATTTATAAGTAAAGTTAATATCTTGTGTCAATTATTTACTATTGTTTCACTTTGAATTTTTTGACTTCCAGAATAATAAAATTATGATTATCATTATTATTATTATTATTCAAACTTTGGAAGTAGGTATGAAAGAAGACTGTCATGAGTTGGCTTGTAGATTTGTCTAAGGAGTTAGACATAGCAACAAGTTTGCTACACCATTCATGAGTACTCCTGAAATAAGATTTGAGTATTGGATTCAACCCGCGCTCACTTGAATTACTCCATGGAATTTATCATGAGTAATTGTGAGACGATAATATCATATAATCTTCAAACCAACATAGATCCAAAGCATTTAGGGTTGCATGTGCACCATAAGAGTGTTATAGTGCTCAAAACCCAACAATTATAATATCTTTTAACTACTCGCAATACGGGGAATCTAGTTTGAAGGGCCGCATTGGGTTGTTGGATTTCAGAAGTGCTATATGCCAAAATGGTCCTGCCCTCCTGTGTTTCATGATTGGCTCCTGACTGTACATAGTGGTTGAAATTATTGTTTAACACTTATAAAACAATATAGCTCGTAGAGCTAATAATTAGTCGCAATAAATATTAGACTAAAATCTAGCGGTAATGATACTAGATTTTGTCGAAGGAAACTAGAATTGTTAGAAGCGAAGCGCTGCCCGAGTTTGGAATCATCACTTTAACAAGTGAGTGCATAGTTACTTTCATATTACACGCAGATATGAAGTATTTAATATAAATTAAGTGCTATGTGTGCATACTATCTGTGTTCCTGATATCTATGATATATGAACTATTTATACATATTTACGCGATTTAAACTGTATATGTATTTTTATACTTATAAATATATATTGGGTAGCGACGGATGATGAGAGATACGTGATGATAAATAGGTGATGTGATATGTGAGGAGATGTCATAACCTTGACTTGCGATATGGTGATGTGGTAATGTAGTCATCTACCAGAGTATAGATGACGACCATAGACTATTTCTAGACAGTCATGTGGAACACCAGCAGGCTCATAACATGTAGGTGATGAATTACGAGTTCAGGCAATGTTGTAACTATGTATTCATGCGTTGATACTCTAACCCTGACTATGAATTATGATTTCTGTCGATGTTGTAACTACGTATTCATGCGATGATACTCTAACCCTTACTAGACACGTATTAGGGGAGTAATCCCCGAATCAGTGCTATCAATGTTATGTAGGTGATGATCCTTAGGAACAAACATATAAGGAAATGCGATGTAAGGAGATGAGAGGTAAATACGATGTAGGAGATGACCCTTTAGGATAAATCTTTAGGGAAGATTAAATGAAGAAAATGGGGATGGGTAATCGGGTTTATTATTTGACATGAATTATGTGAAGAAACAAATTAACTATATCATTGTGGGTTGAAAACCCTACGTACTCACCAGGTTTCCCAACCTGGCCCACTCAGTTTATTTGTATCACAAGTGTCGATATGAAATTACATTACACTGAGAGATTAAAGGAGATGTAGATCACTAGTGTAAATGAATGTATGGTCTGTTTATGCTTATGTTTCTGTATTGACGATGACATCCCAAAGTTTTAATATAAACAAAATACATTTCTTCGGAAATGCTTTGATAATATATTTATCATCTTTTTCTGGGAACAAATTCCACCATATTATTCTTTAAAAATGATACTTTGATTTTCAAATAAGCATAAATAAAAATTTTTAAATGACCGTGAATATGGGGATGTCACATAACAAACCATATAAGGTAAACCCTTAGTCCACCATCTAAAACTAGCAATTTGACCAAAATTCAACTACACCAAAAGTCAACACTCAAAGTCACGGTTAAAATAAAAGTCAACAGTCAATATTTCCATTAGTTGACACTCACGCCGTGACCATTCCTTAGACGCACTCGGCCAGATTCCAACTCAACTCACTTCAACTTAGTCAACTCGATCCCGGATGACCCACTCAACAGACCTTACGACGTGAACCTTCCTTGGTCACTTCGTGAACTTTGTCATTCGAAACAATCACGTAAAAACCACTCTTACGTCATAACACTCCTTGTGTCACGTTGTGAGCCACGTCTAATGCTAAATCCTAATGTCTTAAGTCCTTAATCCATTAAGTCATCCATTGCAACTTTCCAGAGGGATTTCATACATCAAAAACAACATAAAAATCTTTGCTTTAAGGACATGCATGTACAATGCATGTCTTGAACATGATTATGTGAAAATGATATCCAAATCCCATTCACGGGACCAAAAGTCAACCAAACCATAGATCTAGCACACCAAACCTCAAAGGGACCTAATGGATCTATAAAGTTGGCAACTTTATGGAATCCTACCACTCAAACCACCTCCAACATGAAGAAAAAGGCATAAAAGTCTAGATCTAGAAGAATAACACATAAATGTTGGAACTTGAGGACTTACCATGGTCCAAGGTATGACTTTAAGTTGGTGTAGGAACTTGCTTGCTGGATATAAGCACCAAGAACTTCTTCTACTTCTTTAAAATCTTCATAAATGGATGGATGAGGGGAGGAGAGGCTCAAAATGGTTAAAGGGAGACTAGGGTTTCTCTCAATATGATCTAGATATGACGAGGGCTCATAAAATGCCCTAAAAACACAAAACTAACACTTATATATGTTGAAAACCCTAAAACTCTTGGGCTTGGGCTGCACAGTTCTCATGTCGTGAGCTCCTAATGCTCACGTCATGAGCACAGTTTAAATTAGCATTTTCTTTTAATCGTTTCTCACGTCGTGAGCTCCAGCTATTCACGTTGTGAGCTCAGTTTTCCCCCAAATCCTTTCCAACTTTGAATAGTCATAACTTCTTCGTTTCAACTCTGAATTCAGTGTTTTTTTATATCCACATAAAGGTCTTGAAGAGCTCTACACTTCTATATCGATACGTTTGGATCTCCACATGTCCAACTTAAAACCTTAACCCTCACAAGCAGCCTAACACATAACTTTCCCCAGTCCAGCCTCAGTTCCAAATACACGATTCATAGGCCTTGATCCTCTTACCAACAATAACATCTTTCAATAAATTCCAAACCTTACTTCCTTAAAAGCCACAAAACCTACATATAACTGAATTGCGAAGCACAATCCTGAATCACAGAACAATCCGAAACAGTACGTTACACTGATCTTCCAAGTCAATTTTAGTTATGGCAAAACACCAAACAAAAAACACGTTGTAGGAGATTTTGTATAAAATCTGAAACATCTTGATTCAAGTCATTAAGAGTTTCCTTGGTTGGTTGTGTGATTTGATCATCCTGAATTTTGTGGATATCTAGAATGTTATATTGTGGATTGACTTGATTTATATGTATGGCCTTAAACGCATAGCGCTTGAATCGATAATCATTGACGATGTGGTGTTTTCTTTGGAAATTTAGGAGTGAAATTATTTTTAGTGATCACTCTGTCAAAAGAAATGCTTTGACGGATAGATTGATTGATATTTTTATAATTGGTTTGTTTCGTTGAACAGAAAAATTATGTGGCTTTTAAACCCGGTTTTAGCTATAGTCCATTGTAATTGTTTGTTAGCTTTTTGACAACTTTTCTAATAAAAAATCCAGTTTTTCGAAAAAATAATAATAAATTTTATGACGGTAGTTTAGAACGAGTTTAATTTAATTTAGACCGTTCAAGATTATTGTGTTGAGCTCAAAATTTTAATTTTATATTTATTTTTTCATGCGGAATTTTGTTCTGTTTATCTTAAACCGAACCAAATAAACCGTAACTGCATAAACCGAATCCAATTAAACCGAACCTTATTTGGTTTGGTTATGCAATTGGTTTAAAGATGTTAACTAAACGATTTAACTGAAAACGGGAAAAAGCGACCTAATAAGATGGTGTATGTGAACGATGGGAACCCATTTATACCATTTGGTCAAAATGATACCCACTTTTCCTTATAGAAAGCGTGTACATATATGGGAAAATTTGTATGTGAAAATTTAATTTTAAAAGTTAATATGAATGAAAGAAAGAAAAAGAAAAAGGAAGTGGGTAGGAACTAACTAGGAACATGTCCTGCCCTGGCTTTCCTAGACATGGCTGTCCGTTTTCCATGTTATTTAACAGTACCCCATCCCCTTCCATCGCAACTTCAAAATTACCTATTGATCAACAAATAACATTTTCACACCACACCCTTAAAAAACATTGAGTACCTGTTGATGGATCAACAAATTATGGATGCCATTCTCAAGGAGTTTCAACACCTTAAAATCCAGCTGGAAGCCATAAAATCGGCGACAGGCAACTTTGATAACAGCAACCTTATCGGAAAAGGTGGATTCGGTAAGGTGTATGAAGGAGTATTGTCCGACTCTTATGGGGAAGTGATGGTTGCTTTTAAGCGTCTAGATCGTAACTACGGGCAAGGAGACCCAGAGTTCTGGAAAGAGATACTAATACTTTCCTGTTACACACATGAAAATCTCATCTCTCTGTTGGGATTTTGCAACGAGGATGGAGAGAAAATTCTTGTCTACGATCGTGCATTTCGTGGAAGCCTCGATCGCCATCTGAGTGCCACAAACCTCACGTGGAGGCAACGTCTGAAGATATGCCTTGGGGCTGCAACTGGACTGTGCTATCTTCATGATCCCAAGGGGACACAACAAAGAGTTCTCCACCGTGATATTAAAAGCTCCAACATCCTATTAGATGAGAACTGGAATGCTAAAGTTTCTGACATGGGACTGTCGAAACTAGGACCCGCTAATCAGCAACACACAATTCTTGTCTCCAATGTTGTTGGTACCTTGGGGTACATAGATCCAGTGTATATGGAGACGGGCATCCTAACAAAAGAGTCGGACGTGTACTCTTTTGGTGTGATCTTGTTTGAAGTATTGTGTGGGAGACTATGCTTTGAATACAAGAACGGTCATTTTCAGAGTTTAGTAGGGATGTGGAAAAAAAGCTACAAACAAAAGAGATTAAACAAGATTATCTTTAAAGATCTGAAGCAACAAATGGATCAGAGGTCACTAGAAACATTTTCAGACATTGCGTACCAATGTTTGCAGAAATCTCGTAAACGACGGCCAATGATATCTCACGTTGTGGAAAAACTTGAGATTGCACTCCGGTTTCAGGAAATCGGTGACCATGTGGAACCATTAATGGATTATCAAGAGATAATTAAGATTGCGGTGCCTTCTCTTGCCTACAGCTCTACTGAGGAACTAAAGATGCATCTCTTCAAAGGAATCTTAGTTGACAAGGGCACAACGGTAATTAATTAGCTAGCCATGTCATTCTTTATAAGAAATCAATCTGAATTATATTATATTATAGATTAAATTTTAGAGAAAATCTTGGCTCTCTAATAAATGTACGTACTGATGATCATTATCTTACATAATCACCTCAACTTACTAATTGAGTTCTTTTAATGCATGGACAGTGGTTTATAAATAAGAATGGAGAACGTTGTGAAATGATATCCGCAACAAAATGTTTGGAAGCTATTCGCTATGCAGCAAAACCACAAACTCCATTTGACATCAGTTATTTCAGGGATAATCCCAAGTATGGGTATTATCAGTTGTCATCCTCCTTGTTGTTTCTTTAATTCTATCTAGGTTTTTAACTTTTCTCCACGTATTGAATCTTAACATAGACTAACAGCATAATCTTAATTGGTCCAGATCTGAAGTAGACTACTATATGTCATCAACTCCATTGTTTCATGGAAAGACATCAAGGTTACTTTCCTCCCTTTTTTTGTTAATTCCTAGCCTTCTAAACTATTATATATATATATATATATATATATATATATATATATATATATATATATATATATATACTAGGTTATAAGTCATGGAAACCAGGTTGTTATGATTAAAATTAGTATATAGACAAAAAAAAATTAATAATTCAAAAAGAATACAGAGTATTGAAGATGTAAGCAAATTTTCAAGTAACTTCGGAGAATATTTTCATATGGAATGTATTATCTTTCGTGCAGAATTTCAAGTAACATCGGAGGATTTTTTTATATGGAATTCAAAACACATGTCATAGCACAATTTTTGTCACTACATACCACATACACAGTAAACCTTGTCTTCCTTCTGGACCCCAAACTAAAGTATACGGACTGTGATGTAAACCTCAAGTACATATTGGCTGGGGAGACAAAGCATTCGACTTCATATTTGGCAGATGAAGTAGGAGATGGGTGGTTGATAGCGGAATTGTATCAGTTTACTAGCACCACGAGAACTATTGAACTTGAAATTACTTTTGAAAGCTCACATTCAATTGCAGTAGATAGCATCGTGTTTATGCCCCTAGAGAGAGTACGCAAATCGATTTTATTCATTTAATTTATCTTATTTTATTGCTTTGCTTCAGACTCCAATACTTATATGTTTTATATGTAGGTGGAAGATATAGACACAGATTGGGAACCAAATTTGCCACATTGGAAAGAGATAATCAATGGTGGTGAACAGGTATATTTGACATATATGATTCATTAATTCTACAATCTATTACTCTCATACATATAGCTGTTAATGTTGAACATGTGAACGAACATCTACTTGCAAGTACTTACACAGTTGCACATACCAAATTCAATTCACAGTGGTTTTCTCTTGCAAAAAATGGAAAGACGTGCTTTATGCAATCAGCAAGAGAGGCTTTGGATGAAAAAGGTTGGAGCTGGACTTCTTCACCCGAATCAAGGTTCCAAACCCTTTTGCACTACAAATTTAGATTATTCTTTTATTTATATATATATATATATATATATATATATATATATATATATATATATATATATGTGTGTGTGTGTGTGTGTGTGTGTGTCTTTTTAATTTGCAGATTTAAGCAAGTGGCTTTTGATCCAGTTTTCGACAGCTTTCAAATATATTGCAGACCTAGAATGCAATCACTTGGAAAAAAGTATGCTGCTTACCTTGTTTACAAATTACAAGAAAACCATTCTTGGTTTGAACCTCGTGTGCATGTGAGGAGTTATAAATATATAAACGGTGATTCATGGTATATATATTTACTTAGTCCCTGAACACCGGTTATTAAACGACAGGCTTATCAAAATACCCACAACCCTTTGAGTAGACCCAAAATATTGGAAGGCCTCCCACAGAAGAGGAACGATGGTTGGATGGAAGTACAAGTATGCGAATTTCAAAATGGTGATACCTATGAACGTTTTGTTGATGAAAAGTATGAGCATGATCTTCAATTGACCTTTTATGATACCCCTCCATTTGGAATGAAAGGGCTTATTGTGCAAGGCATTGAGTACAAACCAATTATATATACTTAGTTCTTGAATGAATCTTTTTTGTACTCTAAATATTTTAATTCTCTAGCTACAACACAATCTTAGTTATATAATCTTGTAATTAAAAACACACGTTGATTTGGTCTTTTCTCTTAATTTCCTCATATCCAGAATGACTATAGTTTATTTAAGTATTTCAAATGTTCCCCAACATTCTTTACATATGTATCTAAACCTGATCATTCTATGAAACCACAAACATATTATATGTTTTAGTACTTTTGCAAGAATAAACCGCTAGCTTACAAACAAAAGTCAAAAAAACAAAGGGAAGCTGAAAAAGAAAACAGAGTTTATTTATGAACATGCTTTGCTTTACTTGATGAGGATGCATCTTATGGGAGATCCTTCTGCTCCTAGTAACCTTAAGGGTAAGCAGTGGACATTATATAATCCTGCTTCCACATCGTCAAGTTTCAAACCTTCAACAAGAATGATTTCCTGAAACCACAAAAAGTAGCAGTGTTCAATTTTGTTAAAGGGTATTTTAGACATTTAACAAAAAATTAAACACCTTCTGGAAGTATGTTTTGCAAGAGGGAGAATATGTCTTTACCCTATTCTTTAAGAAAACAAGATGTGCGGAAACGAGATCATCATATGCAGCAACCGACAAGTAATCAATACCTACAAAATTAAAAAAATAAAAATAAAAATATTACCAATACCTTTTTTAGCAAGCAATAGATGACAAACACATTTTTTCTCACAAATCAGGGGTATATTTGTAAAATCCAAACAGGACGAGAGAGTATTTTACCAACAAGTTTGACGTCAGTGTTGTCTTTCAACCACTGGGCTCCATCCTCCATGAATCCCACATAGCTTGTGTCGAATCTCTTTTGTGTCATTAACTGCCTGAAATTCACCATCCAAAAGGATAATATTATTTAAAAAAAATAAAAAAAGAAAAAGAAAAGTGAAAGAGTGTTACCTATCGGTGTTTAATGTTCTGAAAAGCACACGTTTTACTCCTTTGGGAATGTTCAAGGACTCCATAACTTCAGCTGAAAAAAGTCAACAAATTATAAAAAATTAGCTCATAGAAAGATTAGAAAACATAAGTTGCTTAAAGAAACTTATGTTTCAGAATGTTACCTGTTATGTTCTTGTCCCTTGGAACATCAACTAATAATGCTGGACCTGTGAAGAAAAAAATGGAATATAATGACACATAATGCTTCTTCATAATTTTCTTTAATGAACAAGTAAAAAGATACACTAGCAATAAAGCTGAAAGTAAAAGGACAAAGCTAATTAATTAAGTACAGATACACAAAAAGTAAAAAGCAGATAATAGGATTTGAGTTTAGTTTACTACCATTGAGTACTTCTAAGTCAAGACTATCGACATCAAACCCTTCTTCAAAATAATTTTCATAAAAATGTCCAGGTGCATCCACATGAGTTCCAGAATGAGCAGGTAACTTTATGATCGAGAAGTTATAATCTGATCCATTTTTCATGCTTAGATAGAGTGTAAGGTACTCCCCAATTCCTTCAACATAAATCCCTGAAAGTGTTTTTGAACTAACCCTATGGGTAATATCGTAAATTTTCCCACTTTCATAAACATCCACTCTTGGAGGAATCAACTCGTCACCATCTTGTGTGGAAGATGACACATAAGATATAACAAGCATGAGAAATATCAACTTAGGGCTCATCTTTCTTGATAAGCTCTTGAGACTTGAGAGGGTCTTTTGGAAGAGGTTAATTATATATAGTATAATATAACATTCGTTGAATTGAATTGGCCGATTATGGTTGAAAAGTATCACCTTTATATAATATAGCATTCGTTGAATTGAATTGGCCGATTATGGTTGAAAAGTATCACCTTTCGCTTTCACGCTTCCGTCATTTATGAGCACATCAAATTTGTCCCCACTAGAAGTCGGCAAAATCCAAGAATAGTTTGGATAAATCACATGACGTGTGACTAATTAACCTTATGCCACGTTGTATGAACTCTTACTCAAATTCAAGAAATTTATGCAGAGAAAAGAAGTTCAAGAAAATCAAATGATCCATGTTCAAAGTGATGCAGACAATTAGTATTGGTGCTCAGAAGTCAGAAGTCAAAGAATTGAAGGCAGTGTTGATTTTTTGGATGTTGAAAGCCTACCACATAAATCCCTTACTTTATTTATCCCAAAACAACAATACTTTCACTCCTTCCGTCAGACTTAATTATTACTCTTTTGAATGTAGAAATGAAACAGATTTTGTCATGAATCTAGAAATTCTTTCTGTTGTCCCTCTAAAAAGATAGTATTTTTAACGAAGCTCCAAGATTCATTAAGGCATTAAATCAAAAAGGGTACACTCACCATTAAGAACATGAAGGTCGAGCGTGTCAACATCGAAACCCGCATCAAAATAGTGATCGTACACGTGCCCTGGAGCATCCACGTGTGTCCCTGTGTGAGTCGGGGATTTTCATCTCGGAATTGTTGACGAGTGAGCCGTTCTTCGATACTCGCCGGAAGCCGGAGGAACTCTCCAAGGCCGTCGTCCGATCCCCATGAAGGCATGTCAGGGTGGTATCGGTGACTTATGTCAATGATACGACCCTCATCGTAGACTTCTCTGCGGATAGGGGAGAGTCTGCCGCCCTCGTCGAGGTCGCAGGATGTCATGGAAGCGGTAAATGAAGATGGGTATGCATCTTCGGCGACAGAAGAGGATTCGGAGGAAGGGAATGTAATGACTGCCGTGAGAAACATTGCCGCTAACACATTCCGTAGAACCATCGGTGATAGCTCAAGCAATAAACAATGGCGAAGTTGGAGAGAGAGAGAGAGAGAGAGAGAGAGAGTTAACGCCACATTGGTAACTACTGACGAGTGAATACTATTAACAAGTTGCATAGAAGCCACCCAACTTTAAAAATAAGACATATGGACCCCTAATCTATTTCGTGTTGTAAACAAGTCATGAATTGGTAAAAGATCTTAGCATATCTACTTGATCGACTATAATGTGACATCCCCAAAATCACGGTCAGAAAAGACCGTTTTAATTTATGCTTAAAAAATAATTTCAGAGTAAATCCATTGATATAAAAGAGTTGCGGAATTTGTTCCCAAAACAAAATATGATAAAATAAAGTTTATCAAAGCATTTCATCAAGAGATGCATTTTCATTATATAACAATATTTGGGATGACATGTTCCGATAAACAGACCAAAAGCATAAACAACAAAAGATAGACCATACAACAGTTATATATAACAACTGGTCTAATATCAAAAGATCTTGATAAGTCATCCAACTTATGCTCTCGCGCCACTACCTGTAATACAACAAAACTGAGTGGGTCAGACTTGGGAGCCTGGTGAGCATACAGGGTTTTCAACCCATAATAAATAATTATATTTAATTTCACCAACCAACAATAACCCGATTACTCATTCCCATTATCCTTACTTTACGTCCCTAAAACAACATCTATTACCAGGGACCTAATCTAGAATTTTCATCGGGACGGACATTACTGCAAAGGGGTTTCCTCAACAATAGATGTCCTAGAGGCAACCATGAGGGGGATAGAGTACACCAGTGAACACATCGTTCACAACACCTACAGGTTATGAACCTGCTAGCGTTCCACTGGACTGTCTAGAAAGAGTCTGTGGTCGTCATCCATACTCCGCTAGATGACTAGATCAACAACAACATCGAGGCCTCTCATCTGTTTATCACACATCAACTATCTACCCATGTTCTACCCAACATATTAGTAGATAAAAATATATATTTTTATACATAGTTTAAAACCTGTATAGCATTCTCATTCAATACATATTCCAAACAACAGATGAGACACATACACATAACACGTATTTCATAGAGAATAAATCATATCTATGAGATAAAAGAAAGTGAATATACATTCACACATATAACAACAAAATATACACATAACATGTATTTCATATAAAATACTTCATAATTATGCGTTAGAAGAAAGTAACTACACACTCACTTGATCAGAAGATGATCAGACAACACTACGACTTGTAGAAGTAGTATTCTTCGGTAGATCTGGAAGATCTTCACAAAAATTGGCTTCTCGCGGGCAGAGCTTCGGCTCGGGAATTGCACTTCTCGGGATCTTCGGGGCTTCGGGACTTGCTTCGGGGCTCGGGATTAATATCGGAGCTTCGGGATATTTCTTTCACGAAAATCGAGGTAAAACGGGAGAGCGAGAAGAGAAAATGAGCAAAGGAATAAGGCAGCATCGCACCCTTTATATAGGGGCTGGAACCTCGCATTACGATGGGCGTAATGCTCAGCTACGCTGGCCGTAACCCGGATAAGTCCGGTGACCCCCCCCCCCCCCCCGGATAATATCGGTCATATATATTTAAATTTAATATTTTAATTATTTAATAAACTTCAAAAATTCATATCTTCCTCATACGAACTCCGTTTTCGACGTTCTTTATATCCACACGTAGGTGGGACTACGCTCTACAACTTTCGTTTAGACTCCGTCGGCTAATTTTGACATTATTTTTATTATTTATTTTTAGTACGCCGGGACAGGAAAACTCTGTTATAAATTCATAACTTCTTCATCTGACGTCCGTTTTCATTTGTATTTTTATCGTTGCACTACTAATGACGAGATCTTCGATTCTCGTTTAGATTGCTTTGGCTAGAAATCACACGATCTCATATTCGAGTTTCGAGCTGCATACTGCTAAGCTGAAACTTCGGAAAATCATAACTTCCTCATACGAAGTCAGATTTAGGCGTTCTTTTTTATCTACACTCTCAGTTTAACGTATTCTATGACTTTCGTTTAAATCACTAAGGCTAAATATCGCTCTATCGTAAATTCACTATTTACGTCGCGCAGCGGCGCGAAACTTCGACAGGTCATAACTTATTCGTTATAACTCGGATTTCAACATTCTTTATATATTCGGAAACCTCGTTTCAACTACTACAACATTATCCATAGATATTAACTTTATCTAACATTTCATTTTGAGGCTTATTTTTATCCTTAATTTATTTATGTCACACAATTAAGCACAAAACACATAATACTCAAATAATACATCTTTATTATTTCAAGACGGGTTACAAAGGTTAACCTAGACTGTTACATCATTATTAATGCCTAGCCTGAAAACACGGGCATTATAATTCTCTCCACCTTAGAATGATTCCATCCCCGGAATCACACATCAACAAACAAATGTGGATAGCAACTGATCATGTCACTCTCCGTCTCCCAAAGTGAGATTTGGCCCATTCGTATGTTTCCATCGGACAAGCACTAATTCGAACATCTTGCGTCGCAACTTCTTAGTCTTTCGGTCAACGATTGCCTCTGGTTCTTCAATTAACCTCTTGTTCTCATCAATTCTTAATTCCGAAAGTGGAAACATATCGGGAACTTCTCCCGTGAACTTCCTCAAATAACACACATGGAAAGTGTTATGAATTCCATTCAGTTCTTCAGGTAATTCGAGCTTGTAAGCTTTATTCCCAATCCTCTGAAGAACTTTAAGCGGTCCAATAAACATTGGACTTAACTTTCCCCTTTTACCAAATCGTATAAGTCCCTTCCACGGCGAGACTTTAAGCAAAACCGAATCTCCAACTTCAAAAGTCATCGGTCTTCGCTTATTGTCAGCATAGCTCTTTTGACGATCCTGAGCTGCTAACATTCTCTCCCTAATTATTTTCAACTTTTCAGCAGTTTGATGGACTATCTCCGGTCCCATAAACTGCTTTTCCCCAGCCTCAGGCCAACAAGACGGCGTACGACATTTTTGTCCGTACATAGCTTGATAAGGTGCCATCTTTATGCTCTAGTGGAAACTATTATTGTAGGAAAATTATACCAAAGGTAAATGTTCATCCTAGTTACCTTGGAATTCCAGGGTACATGCTCTCAGCATATCTTCAAGCGTTTGTATCGTTCGTTCGCTCTGACCATCAATCTGTGGATAGTAAGATATACTCAAACACAACTTGGTACCCAATTCCTCTTGTAGACTTCTCCAAAATCGCGAGGTGAAACGGTTGTCACGATCTGATATAATCATTAACGGAACACCGTGAAGCCTCACAATTTCCTTCACGTAAGAATTCGCAAGCTTATCCATAGACCATTTCTCCTTGGCTGCTATGAAATGCGCACTCTTAGTGGATCGATCAACGACCACCCAAATCATGTCGTGACCATTCTTTGTTCTGGGTAGTTTAGTGACAAAATCCATAGCAATGTCTTCCCATTTACCCATAGGCACATGTAAAGGTTCTAAACTCCCGTATGGTTTCTGATGTTGTGTCTTGACTCTCGCACAAGTCACACACTCAGCCACATACTTTGCAATATCAAGCTTCATCGTCGGCCACCAGTAACAGGGTTTCAGGTCCCTATACATTTTAGTGCTGCCGGGATGAATTGAGTACATGGTTTTGTGAGCTTCTTCCATCAGAAGATCTCTGACTCCTCCTGTCTTAGGTATCCAAATCCGATCTTGGAACACCTTCAGTCCATGACTATTTACACCGAACACTAACGTTTTGCCCAAACGTTCTCCCTTTCGGTCATTCTTCTCAGAAGCTTCTTCTTGAGCTTTCTTTATACTTTACACAATAGTCGAAACAACTTCTATTCTCAACGCTCTTGGCCTCTTTCTCTCAAGATTGACTTTCCGACTAAGAGCATCAACGACAACATTTGCTTTACCGGGATGGTAAAGTATCTCACAGTCATAGTCCTTAAGTAGTTCTAGCCAGCGTCATTGCCTCACATTCAATTCTTTCTGATTAAAGAGATATTGGAGACTCTTATGGTGAGTGAAAAGTGTGCACTTCGTGCCATAGAGGTAATGCCTCCATATCTTTAGAGCGAAAACTACTGCCGCCAACTCCAAATCATGAGTTGGGTTGTTCTTTTCATGCTCTTTCAACTGTCGAGACGCATATGCTATCACCTTTTCTCTTTAGGTCAAAACACAACCCAACCCAACACCAGATGCATCGCTATAAACAGCAAAGTCTTCAACTCCATCGGGTAGAGAAAGAATTGGTGCCTCACATAGCTTCTTCTTTAGCAACTCGAATGCTTCTTTATGCTTATCACTCCAAGCATAAGTCGCTCCTTTGTGAGTCAAAGCTGTTAATGTAGTAACGATCGAAGAAAAGCCTTGGATAAACCTTCGGTAATATCCGGCTAATCCTAAAAAGCTTCGGATCTCCGTGGGACTTTTCGGTTGTTCCCACTTCATCACAGCTTCAATCTTTGCGGGATCAACCATCATCCCTTCTTGGTTGACCACGTGACCCAAGAATTGGACTTCTCGAATCCAAAAATCACATTTGGAGAACTTAGCATACAGCTTCTCCTTTTTCAAGACTTCTAACACTTCTTGCAAGTGTCTGCCATGCTCCTCTTGCCTTTTCGAGTAAATCAGAATGTCATCTATGAACACTATCACAGATTTATCAAGGAACGGATTACAAACCCGATTCATTAAATCCATGAATGTTGTTGGAGCATTGGTTAGTCCAAACGACATCACCAAAAACTCGTAGTGTCCATATCGTGTTCTGAATGCAGTCTTCTCTATATCCTGCTCTCTTACCTTCAGCTGATGATATCCTGACCTTAGGTCGATCTTTGAAAAATAGCTCGAACCTTGAAGTTGATCGAACAGCTCATCAATCCTCGACAACGGATACCTATTCTTTATTGTTGCCTTGTTCAACTCTCTGTAATCGATGCACATTCTCATACTTCCATCTTTCTTCTTCACGAATAACACTGGAGCTACCCAGGGTGATGAACTAGGTCTAATGAAACCTTTGT